CCTTTCTGTATTAATATGTTGAGGTAACATCCTTGAAATCGAAGACTACCTTATTTTGTATATTTCTCATCAAGAGTAATACAAATTTTTTGTACTGAAACACATGAATGAACCGACGCAAAAGTTCGACACTTGGTAGAAGAAATTGGCTATATTTTTTTCTATTTTAAAAGAATCCAGACAGCATCATAGTGTACCATGGAAACTATTCCCCCAATTGCTTCAATCAACCTTCATAGCATAGAAGATGTTAGGTAAGCAATAAAGAAAGAGCATTAACTTTTTCAGACGTAGCATATGCTACAAAAGAGCCTTTTCAAAGTGTAGAGAGCCTATTAATACACTTCTGCTCAAAAAGGAAAATATCTAGGCTTACCGGCATAACTGTTAGATGGACCAGGGAAAGAATGTAAAATAAAAATGCATGCAATTTTTTTTGAAGTGAATAAAAGCTGAACACCATGGATCTGTTGCTGCAACATTGCAGCACCATATATTCTGTCTTGCAGAGAATAATTTTCCAAACTAGAAGGTAACTATAAACATATTAGTCGAGGATTTTGTGTCCTTATGCGTTTGGGGAAGGAGCTTTAATGCCACAATGCATGTCACTTATCTGTCCAAAATCATCCATGGTATTACAGCAACTAACAAGTGAAATTGTGATTTATTTACCAAAGAAAAGGGTAATATTATATATATATATATATTACAAAATATCTTTGAAATTGGATAAACATGAGGGTAGAATTGTCGTTTGGTGTTTAAATTATAAGGGTAGAAAGGTTTATGCCTTGTTTTTAAGTTTATACATACTAATGAAAAGAAATACTCTCCTAAATAGTCCCCTTGGAAAAAGCGTACATCCATTTGCTAGGCTTAGTCATCGGGCAATCAAAAGAAATTTCCACTAAATGGTCCCCTAGGAAAAGTTGTCATTGCGTGCAACTCATCTCTCATGGTGTTAACCGTGAGTGGGTAACGACCCACCTTGGCCGCAAAAGAAAAGATGTATGGAATGGATGTGTGCAACTTGTTTCTTAAGAAGTCCTTTTTACATTTTTATTTAGTATCAATGATAATTGAAAAAATTACTTAATCTAAATGAATGAACTTATTAAAAATCATGTATAGAAAGAAGTTTTTTTTCATTTATAACATATAAAAATATTAAATTAAAATATATATAAAAGTCAAATTAAATAAACTGAAAAAGACCAAAAGGAGTAGTAACTTCAACATTTTTTGAGTGATAGATTCCTGCATACAATTA